TTTTGTCTATAAAACGACACATATTTATGAAAAGAACAAGACAATTCCTTTAAATATGTGTGCATATACATTTCATGCCATATATAAATCATTTTCATTAATATTATCAGTTTTACATTTAAGGTTGAATTAAATCTCCGTTCATTAACCTGTTCATATGAAATTGCAGTATTAGTCCAAATATATTTAATATTGTACATCATAGGAACTAAATTAGTTGCAGTTATGGCTACGTTTGATCTTCTAACACTTGTGTAAAGGTTTAGAATATGGTGTAATACACTAAATATGTCAATTTCTTATGTAAATATGATTCAAACAATCAAAAACTTTCAAAGAATAAAACACCGTAAACCCTATATGATATGATATTGAACAAAGCTAAATGTAGACACTGAAGTCAGTTTCATGAAAAAGTATACGCAAAGTAAACTATACGCAAAATATACACCATAATACTGACAGTGTAATCGGAAGCATTGGGCGATTGTGTTTACTCTTGTTCAACCGACCTTCACCTCAAAGATATTGCCTAATATGTAGAACAATGTTAACGTATGACATCACTGCAACTGACCGATTTCTTACAAAATGGCGGCTTTGCGGACAAGGGTACACTGGATTTTGCGAGGACCCTTCCATTGATTCAGGGATCGTTTGTTCATTAATATGAGATGTAGTAATCAGAATGATTCTGACTATCTGTGGGTTGTTATATGTTTTATCGTTTTCACTATAGGTAAAAGAAAAAGCCAGCAATGCAGATAATTACCGTTGTCGTTCTGCTTGATTTTGCGTCAGTCATGGCGTCACGCTGCACGGAAACTTTGACAATATTTCTTATGAATTATCAAATCATTGCATTGTATCTATTTATAATTTCCTATTGCTTGATACGATACTCTTTCCATGTATATTCCAAAGGTATTGAGCCAGCAATACATAGACGGATGCATGTTGAAAAATTTCAGAAAATGCAACGCAGTGTCAAATCGGAAATTGTTTACATTTCAGACAAGCGCAGTTTTTCAAGCACAGCGTTCATTTTCACACCCAATATGTTTCGTCTCATTTTATCTAGTCAGTAAGTATTGGTGACACAGACCAGTTGGAAATGGTTTCTAAAATGTATGGGAAATTCAGTGATGCATTTTTCGAAGATGAATATGAAATATACGTGATGTTATAGGCGTCGCAATACCGGCCTTCGCGAAACGTGATTTTGTAAACACTATCCAATATGGCGGAAAGCGCTCTACGGCGTTCGTGTAAGTGCATTTTCGAAAACATTCCAACCGATTCTAGATTCATCGGCAACGTTTCAGAATTATAATTAGCAATTTCAGGTAAAACTGATATCAGTGATCATGAATATGTTATTTTTGAAATTCATTACTCCCAGTAATTATCCGATTTTCACATTTCAAAACATACAGCACATAACGCTGTGAATCGCGATTTCGTACTGTGTAAAAAATGGCGACATTTTCGATGAAGCCTATTTTGAAAGGTCATTTTCAGCACATGAGCTTTGCCTCAAATAAAAGTGGATGGTATCAAGAAACAGGAAATTTCCCGCAGAATTCGAAACTGTGAAGAGTATTTGTGTGCGTGGGATATTTTGATTTTTATTGGACTTGAAATTGAGGGTTGAAGGGGAAGGGCATATATGCCCAAATGACATCAAGGGAGTTAACTGCAATCACCTCTCCCTGAAGATACAGAGAGAGAGAGACAGAGAGAGAGACACACAGAGAGAGACACACAGAGAGATACACAGAGATAGACATACACACACAGACACACAAATACAGACACATACACACATACACAGATACATACAGAGAGAGACACGCAGAGAGAGACACTGAGAGAGACACACACCCACATACACGTAGACACATACAGAGAGAGACACAGAGAGAGACACACACATACACACACAGAGATACACACACATACACTCAGACACACACACACACAGACACACACACAGTCACACACACAGACACACACACACAGACACACAGACATATATATATATATATATATATATATATACACACACACACATATATATATACACACACATATACTCATACATATACACAGGCACAGACACACACACAACCACACACACATATGTGTATATATATAGAAATATATATACCGAAGTGATGAGAATAAGAAGCGTACAGTAGTACACGGATATAAGAAGAAGTTTCTCAGGGAAATAATCAGTTAAACGATTATGTTACGGATCTTCTCTTACATGTTTCACTTTTATCTTCGGCGTTGCCATGAAGTGATTACAGTTAAACGGATTATGTTGCACAATGACGTCACTTTGTCATGACGTATTTAACGATGAAAACTTTTCCTTTAGCTTTACGCTGCATGGCGTCAGCATATTCATTTTATAGAAAGGGAATATTTTTTTTACGCGGCGTTGCGCATGACGTTTTGGAGTCCTCTGTTGTTTATGGACGCGCATTCTGTCCCTCAAGCACTCCGTTTGTCCAATGTATTCTTCATGACACCCTTGGCATATAATAACATAAATAATATGTTTTGCGGAGCAGTCCATGTTAGAGCGTACATGAAATATACTGAGTCAAAAAAGAAACTTCACATTCTTTCTTCAGGGCACTATAAAAGAACAAGAGATGGTAAGATGGTTAAATTGTTATTATTTCATTGCTGAGATCTGTGTGATGTACTCGATACACTGACAGTGCCATAATCAGTTCCATTAGGCTACACCGCCGTCCCAAAACATGGGTATACAGAATGTCAAGTCACAAGAATAAAAATGCGAAATTTCTCAGTTCAATATCGTGTATGGCCGCCCTGCGCATTCACCACTGCCAAACACCGTCTCCTCATCGACTGCCTGATGCTTGTGAACACGTGGTTGGGGATTCTGCGCCATTGCTCTTGCAAGGCAGCACCAGGTTCCTGCAAATTCTGAGGTTGGTTCCTAAGACCACGAAGCCTTCTCCCAAGTGTATCCGAAACGTGCTCTATTGGATTAAGGTCAGGGGACCTCGATGGCCAGTCCATGACGTTGATTCCAGCGTTTTGAAGGAAATTTCGTGTCAACATCGCGGCATGCGGCAGAGCATTATCATGCTGGAACTGTAGACCTGGGCCATGAGCCGCCATGAAAGGAACGAGTTCAGGGATGAGCACCTGGTCGCGGCAAGCAGCAGCTGTGAGGTTTCCACGGATGACCAGAAGTCGGGAACGGTTGTTCCCACAGAAAGCACCCGACACCATGCAACTTCCACCCCCGAATCTGTCGACTTCCTGTACACAACATTGGGCATACCGTTCACGACGTCGTCTCAAGACTCTATGCCTGCTGTCCGCGAATCTGAGAGTAAACCTGGATTCATCGCTAAAGACGACTTGATTCCAATCTCTCTGGGTCCATCGGAGGTGACGTTTGGCCCACAGCAGTCGTTGACGTTGATGAAACGGCGTCAATATTGGCCCACGATATGGACGTCGAGAGTGGAGATTGGCAACCCGCAACCGATTTCGAATGGTCTGTGAGGACAGTCGACCTCTAAACATCTCAGCCCTGGTTTGTGTAGCCGGCAGAAATCTGTCACGTAGGTGACGTAGGACGATTTGACGGTCTTCTGCTCGTGACGTCACACGTTGACGACCCGACCTTGGGCGATCAGAAGTGGTGCCAGTTTGTTGTAGACGATCTCGCAAGTCATACACAGTACGACGGCTGCATCCCATTGTTCTTGCGACATCAATAACTGATCTTCCCGCTTGCAACATGCCAAGGGCACGTTCACGTTGCACATTTGACAATCCTGGCATTTCAAGTACCGTTAGAACAGTGGTTTAAAAGTGTTTTTTTCAATTCTTGAGGCCAATGCAAACACGTGCATATGAAGACAACTTCGATGCGAAGATCACGTGATCGACTGCACGTGCAAAACCTGATTTGGCACTAACGTCATTTGCACGACGAATGGATGGGTTTGAGTGGGTTTTGCTAACGTTTTTCTAGAGTCGAAAGATAGGGATCCCATTTCGGATACATAGATGTATCATCAGAGAAATATTATTCATTATTTTTCAAATTACATTTTGTGAAGTTTCTTTTTTGACTCAGTATAATTGTTTTCCTGTTTTTGAACTTTATACATGAAGTTTCAAGTATATATTCACAAGTTCAACAATTTCCCCGTTTACATTTTGAGACACTGAATTCTGTAGGTTTAATACATGAGTCGAATGTGGCGCGTGTCAATATGTGTTTTAAGTTACGGCTTTGGCGTTTACTCTTTATCATTGTTACATTAGCCAAATATCGATTCATTTTCATATTGACAGTGTTATTTAATTGTTTATCACGAACTTTCAACAGTGTCCTTCTGTCTGTATATACATACACATGCGTACACACACACATACACACACAGACACACACACGACAATTAGACAAAACAAAAAGAAAGAAAAAGAAAACGGCTGCAGACACTTCAGTGCTGGCGCAATTGCAGTGGCAGCATAACATAACATACTTGTGCACTGCGGTGAGCAAACCTGAACCCTAAGACACGTCAGCTCCTTTACTCACGAGTAACGCTACCACGTCTTTATGTCCGTATTTTGCTGCCAGCATCGCTGGTGTCATATCCTGCACTCCTCTACAGTTGATGTCTAATACGTTCTGAGAGAGGACATACCTCACCACCTCCAAACGTCCTTCCTGACAGGCCAAGTGAAGGATGTTGTTATTGCTGTTATATACGAGGGACAAATCGGCGTTATTGTGTACGAGTAACTCTACCACTTCTTTGTGTCCCCTTTGTCCAGCTGACATTACTGGGGTCATGTTGCTGTATCCTCTACTGTTGATGTCCGACATATTCTGTGAGAGGACATACTTCACCACCTCAACATTTCCACCACGGCAGGCATAGTGAAGGATGTTGTCTCCTCCTCCATCCAATTGTGACACATCGGCACCTTCACTCTCGAGTAATTCTACCACGTGTGTGTCCCATTAATGCTGCCCTCATTAACGGGCTCATCTTCTGAAATCCTCTACTGTTGATGTTCACCATATTCTGTGAGATGACATACTTCACTGTCTCAATATGTCCACCTTGGCAGGCATAGTGAAGGATGTTGTCACCTCCTCCATCCAATTGTGACACATCAGCTCCTTCACTCTCGAGTAATTCTACCACGTCTGTGTGTCCCTTTAATGCTGCCCTCATTAACGGGCTCATCTTCTGAAATCCTCTACTGTTGATGTTCACCATATTCTGTGAGATGACATACTTCACTGTCTCAGTATGTCCACCTTGGCAGGCATAGTGAAGGATGTTGTCACCTCCTCCATCCAATTGTGACACATCAGCTCCTTCACTCTCGAGTAATTCTACCACGTCTGTATGCCCCATTAACGCTGCCCTCATTAACGGGCTCATCTTCTGAAATCCTCTACTGTTGATGTTCACCATATTCTGTGAGATGACATACTTCACTGTCTCAATATTCCCACCCCGGCAGGCATAGTGAAGGATGCTGGAACCTCCCTGATCCAATTGTGATACATCAGCTCCTTTACTCACGAGTAACTCTACCACATCTTTATGTCCTAATTTCGCTGCGATCATTACTGGTGTAATCTTTTCTCTCCAACCATTGTTGATGTTCACAGTATTCTGTGAAAGGATAAACTTCACCACCTCCATGTTTCCTTCCCGGCAAGCAGACTGAAGCATGTTTCTGTGCTTGTAATATCTTAGCGACCCATCAGGTCTTTTACTGACGAGTAACTCCACCACTTCTCTATGTTTGTACTCCTGTGCCACCATGATTGGTGTCATCTTCTTTGATCCCCTTCTGTCGACATCCACAATCTTCTTTGAGAGGATGTACTCCACAACCCCCGCATCTCCTCCCCTACAGGCGCAGTGAAGGATGTTGTCACCTCTTTCATCCATTAGTGACACGTCAGCGTCTTTGTCCACAAGCAACTCCACAACCTCTTTGTAGCCGTTCTCTGCTGCCAGCATCACAGCTGTTCTCCCGCACCGTACTCTACCGTTGATGTTCAACATGTTCTGTGAGAGGACATACTTCACTACCTCTACATCTCCTGCAAGACAGGCTGAGTGAAGGATGTTGATGCCGAATCTATCTGTGATTGACAAGTTGGCTCCTTTACTCACAAGTAACTCAACCACTTCTTTATGTCCTTCACCAGCTGCCCACATCACGGGTGTTCTACCAATCCATTCCTGGCAGTTAATGTCCGCATGTCCTTGGGACAAGGTCTGTTTTACCTCTAGGAGGTCCCCGACCTTAGAGGCGATGTTTAGTTCACAAGACAAAGACTCTGCAACACAAATATTATATTATATATTATAATATATATGTGTATATTAGACAATATTATAAAGGCCACAAGGCATTGCTTGCTCTTTGCCAATTATTTATACATCGTTGTTTTCCGTATAATATGATCGTTGGATGAATACGACGAAAATAAACTAAGGATTACAAATAGATACTGACTGATCAGTTCATATCAATCAACATTTGTTGTTTCTCAAGTCTCTCTTATAGGGGAGTAAGAAGTGACAATCTGCACATCACACGTGTTCATCATAACATCTATATTTGTGAAAGCAGTTCTATGCCAGCCTATGTCCATATATGGCCACCCTTTGCATTAATGCACGCCTGAAGAAGTCGACTATAAGAATGTCTGCTCGAACTAACACCTTGATCCCCTTGTTTATCCCTGACTGGTGCCCATCCAGTAACATGTCCACACCGACTTGGAGATGGGAATGTTTCAGTTGATATTCTGACTGTTCTGCATGAAAACGACCAATGAGATCACGACTGGTTAACTGACCAGTTCACGTGACGTGTGTTAAATGCACGGTCCCTAAAGATTATTGACACTTCTGATATCCCTGAAGGAACCTGTCCAGATTCCAACCTCTGAAGTGATGAGAAAAATGTTACGATAAAGTCTTTCTAGTCATGCATCAAATATATTGTTTCATCGGGTCACTGTGACACCTGTCTGGTTCATATTAACACATTACGTTGGTGACGAATCCCATTACAGTGGGGTGTTCTGTTACAAGGTTCTCTTCATCTATTTTACAATGTGCTGCATTGAAGCTGTTACAGAGACGAATGATCTGGATGAAATGGTTCTTGATAGCGTGATTGTCCTCAGTGCCCCGCTTCTAAGCATTTAGCGGTTGAATTTGCCATACAATCTACATCTATTTGACTTGATTGGTGTTAAACAAATGACGTATCCAGAAATCAGTCCCTAAAAGCAATGAAGTGGCAAACAACAGTGAAATGAACAACTGTATTCTAAAGGTTACGAATACATTATTATTATGTATTACATATTAAAGATAAAAATGCAGCAGAGAGGGTTCGGGTGATCCTGGCACAGTCAGACTGGTAAGGGTCATCATCAGCTCAGGGCCCTCGCCCCCTCTACATGCAGCCCAGACAGCGAATGGGACTTCTCCCAGAAAACGCTGCCTAGTCGGAGAATATGAAGGCTCCCCAACACTGCAACCTTCTGCATTAGTTTTCTGTTTGTGCCAAGGAAGGGCATCAACGGACAAGGTGTTGGAGAGTCTCTGTGAATCCATTGCAAAGTCGACATTTCATGCTGATATTCTCTTTAAGAATCACATTTAGGCGATTGCGAGTGGGACGTGACTGGTCCTTAGAAAAAAAGGAAGCCCTCAGTTTCACATTTGAGACCAGCCGACTTCATCCAGGCAAAGGAGTCGGTCGGATTGCCATTCTGTTCAACACACTGCATATACAGACGATGCAATGGCTTCTCAGAAAGCTTCTCGACAAATGACCGACTCTGGGCAAACTTGGTGATGGACTTCACCTGGTTTACTCTCATCGCTGTACCGTCCAGCAGTACATCGCCATCAGTGAAGTCAACCTCAAATTTCAGATTCTGTCCAACAACCTTGGCACACTTAAGATAGCTGTGGAATTCCTTGCTTTCATCATGAGTCTTCACATGCATCATCAGAGGATTATCCGATGATTAAATATGTGCAAAAGTACACAATAAAATTCTAACATGAAGAGCCTCCACATTAATCAAACATGGATTGGCATATATAAACGGTTAAGAGAGGAACGAGGGTGGTGGGCTATGTTGTCATAAATGATCCTTCTGGTCAGGCGGTCAAGACTCAGAATGTTCTTATTTGTCCAGTCAACTACTCCAAAGGCTCAATATAACACACACACACACACACACACACACACACACACACACAGAGAGAGAGAGGGAGAGAGAGTAACTTGACCGATCCACCATTAACTACCTTGCCACGCTTCAAATGAAGAGTATTACATTTGTCCAGACCAAATGTCATTCCAATATCACCAGATAGGGACTCGACAAGTAGCACCTGCTTTTTTAAAAATTGGTTTCTCCTTTGGCAAGGAGCAAGGTAGCATCCATGTAAAGGAGATGAGTAAGCGCTGGGGATCTGTGCTGATCCGGGATGGTAACCCTCCTCTCTGTTGAGCAGAAAGCTCAAAGGATTTAGAGACAAACAAAAAGCAAAGGACTGAAAGAGTCCCCCTGGAAAAATTCCCCTTCTGATTGGAATAGATTCCGAAGTCTACACTTCGCTCCGGGAGGTCAATACAACGCATAGACTTCAGAATCCATTCATGAGGGACTGAGTGGCATAGTATTTTTTTTTGTAGTCAATCCAGCACATGGAGAGGTTGCGGTGATATGTTTTAGCCTCTTCCAAAATCATTTTCTGTACAAGAGGTTGATCCTTGAATCCCCAACATTCCTTTCTTGCTGCCTTCTGCTCCCTGTAAATTATATCATTAGCATTGCAGTATGATGTTATTATTATTATTGTTTGATATAGTTATACAGCGCACATATCCACGCGCTGGAATTGTTCCCCATATCTTTGGATGTCAATCTCAACATCGTATTGTCAATCTCAACTCCTGACGAGCATACAACTCTTGCTGCCACTAGGCGCACCGAGTTAATGTGACTTTCCCATCCTTACGGTTCCCGTTCACAGCTGGGTGGACTGGGACACATAGTCACAGTACTTTGTCCTAGTTTACTGCACGTTGCTGTACCCACAACAAGGTGTTTGCACGTAATTCATATGGCCAACATCTGGTCATATACCAACGGAGTTGTGGGTTCTTTTAAGTGTACAGGGTTGTGTACTGTACACTAGGGGTTGTGGCAACAACACTGATAGAGTCTGCACGCATTCCCTGCTCGATGCCGACACCTCATGCCCGCTGGATCACTAGCCTATCGCCTTAGCCAGCTCGCCCACTACGCCCCTACATACAGTTCTTTACGAAGTAATTACACTAAGAGTACATGATATAGCGGCAGTACAAATTCCAATTTCCAAAACCGGCTTAGACTGAAAGATACTTGGGAGATATAATACATTCCTCTTCTCTAATTCAGAATTTAGCATCCTCTCTCTATAGCGCACCACTGTCGCCTATTGGATGTCAACAGAGTCTTCAAAAGTGTAATACTGATATCATCAGCCCCTGTTGCTGTGTTATGATCTTACTTAAGCGCACTATGTAGCTCATGTAACAGAGAGGGCGGTGGGGTAGCCTAATGGTTAAAACGTTGGCTCGTCACGCCGAAGACCCGGGTTCGAATCCCACCATGGGTACAATGTGTGAAGCCCATTTCTGGTGTCCCCCGCAGTGATGTTGCTGGAATATTGCTAAAAGCGGCGTTAACGGAAATAATTCACCATTACAACTGATTCTTTTCTGCTGCTGTTGTATCTAATATTGTTGAAAATCAGGGACAGAATTTGACGAAAAGAATGCTTGGCAAGAGCCTCACCACGTTTATTGGCAATTTCTTCATCATCAATCCTTCATCTTTCTGATGGTGAACAGTAGATTTTGAACATTTACCTTTTATCCTTCGGATTATGTTCGATACTATTGAAGTTGGTATACGAGAATTTATCGTGGAAACATGGTTTCTCCAAAGACTAAGGCTTATTCGATTTAAAGGCGAGTCGAGTCTTGCCATTTAAATTCTGAACTCATGTTGGCATTTCAGGGAATACAATGGCCGATCTTGATGCCAAGGCAGCACTCAATAAATCTGTGACACCACATCTTATCCCATACTCTTATTACAAAGCATAAATACATTACATGAAATAAAACCCTATATCGGTTACACCTACTTGGGTTGTAAGTCCAGATTTGAGGAGGTCATCATACGACGATGTCGTATTGGCCACACTAGATATACGCATGAAGAGATATACCTGTTAAAAGGTGAGGATCCTCCGTTTTGCATCCCTTGTGATGAGAGAACCCCGTCAAGCATGTCCTGCTTGACTGTGTTGAATTATCCATCATAAGGGATACATATTTTGATATCAAAACAGTAAATGATCTTTTTAATAAAGTTAATTATCATTTAATCATTGATTTTTTAAAAGAGATAGATTTGTCAAATGAATTTTGATATATGTTTTGTAAATAGATGAAGTTTTATAATTTTATAATCAGATTATCAACTTAGATTGTTAGTGGCTGTAGTGGGGTTAACGTACGGTAAAATTATTGTTCTCCTGAGAGGGTATGAATTTCAAAGTCAATTCAAACTTAGCAGGATTTTGGAACGTAGTATTCTTGTTATTTTAGTTTAGCTAACATTTCATACAATCGCCAACAGCTGAAGGGATGGTGTAAATCCAACTAGGGTCCATGCAGGTAGCAAAAGTACTGTAAGTCCCCATGGTCCCTTGTATGGTGATCTTCTCTCAGGTGTTGGCGATCTATAGCCTGTTTTTATCTTGTATTGTCCAAATAGTGCTTTGAGTAGAGTATTAATTTTCCACGCTAGAGTGAACTCATATTGTGATATCTAGTTGTTTTACTGTCCTTTGACGACAGTTTTATATAATATGCACATGTTTAATTTCAATGTCAAATATGTTCTCTTCACGATATGGCTGAAATATTGCCCATGTGACGTTAAACCTTAATTCAATCACTCAATCACTCGCTTAAATTCTGAAGTTCGTTTGTACTATTTAATGTTTTACTTACTTATCAAGAAGGAACTTTGAAATTGAGGAAGAACAACACTCATTTTCGGGAATTTGGGGGCCAATTGTCTCTAATCCAGTTGTATTTTTATCGAAAGACGAAGGAGACTGACGTCAATTCGACGTTTCGGGTTTGCTGCTACTTAAGCATTTTGGTCGTGCAACGGTAAATGAAGTTGTTGGCGCATGTGGATCACGACGAATTATTAAATATCACGAACATATTCTTGATCGTGGACTGGGGCAAGTTCCACCTCCAGTATGGTTGGTTTCCTTACCGGAAGAAGGCTGCGGATGTGGAAATTTGAAATCGACTTGTCTATTTGTAACACTGGAAAAAAACAGCTGTTAGGTGTCATCATTGACTTTAAAAGGCATTTTAAGAACCATAAAACCGCTCCCAAATACTAGCTTTGACACCTTTTTCAAAATCTTTGACACTAAGATTTGTCCTATTCTACTGTATGGTGCAGAAGTATGGGGTCAGGAATTCTATGTCACATTAGAGAAGGTACATCTAGATGCGTGCAAAAGATTTTTAGGAGTAAATTCCAACACCCCCTAATGTTACAGTTTATAGGAAATGTGGGAGATACCCTATGTATATATTTAGTTACATAAAAGTAATAAAATATTGGATAAGATTGCATAAATGCCCAGCACCAGATTCCCAAACAATGTCATAACATGATGATGCTTTACGATGATAGAGGTAAAAATAACTGGACCTCTGGTGTCAGAAAGATACTTCAGTCTTGCGGCTATGATTATATCCTGAGAGAACAAAATGTAACAGCACCAGAGCATTTTATATATGATTTAACACGAAGGCTAAAAGATATGTATTTTCAAAATTGGCATTTTTCACTACGTCTACACATTAAGTTAAACCATTATTCCTATTTTAAAGCATTCATTCGTACAGAAAATTTTCTTCTAGACATTAATGAAAAGAAATTCAGAACAGCATTAGCCCGTTTGAGATGTAGTTCCCATGATCTTCTAATAGAAAAAGGTAGGCATTTAGGGATACCACGGGAAAAACGATTGTGTAAATATTGTACTTATCAGGAGGTAGAAGATGAATATCATTTCTTGCTTGTTTGTCCATTGTATGCAAATATCAGAAAAGAATACATAAAGAAATATTTCTACTTGAACCTCCCAAAAGGCAAATTCTATACCCTCATGGCATCCGAAAATCAGGTCTTTATTGTTGTTGTTGTACTACCATTGCATTTTGTACTACAACTTAACTGTGCACTGTTATTGCAAATAAATTGCTGTATTGTGTATGTTTGGTATGCATGGTCACCTTTAAAATGTATTTGATAATTTATAACATTACATGTTTTCTTTGTTGATTTCACTAAGATCTTGTCTGGTACCTATTTCGTTGCTGTATTACCATTGTTCTGTAAATACAACAAAGAATAGGTACTAGATCAGGCTCCAATTTCTCGAAACAAGCTTAAGCTTTTACTCAAATTTCAAACTGAGTTTGACAATTAGCTGAATTTTTAACTCAAGTGCTTTTGTAAGATAAAAAAGCCCAAAGAACTTAAGTAATCTATCCACCAAACATAAATTGTTTACTATGTTTGAGTTTAATATCGATTTCAGTTTATTCTGGGAAATGCATTTTCCTGCATTGTCTCAAATTTGAGTAAAAACTGTAACTTAAGTCAAAACCCAGACTTAAGTTTGTTTCGAGAAATCGGGACCAGATCTTAGTGAAATCAACAAAGAAAAAATGAAATGTTGTAAATTAACAAATGTGTTTGTAAAGCGTAAT